TTTTTTTTTGGTGAGACAGGGTTTCACTATGCAGTTCAGGATGGCCTTGTGCTCACTTTTGTAGCCCCCAGGCTGGTCTCGAACTCACAGGCTCAACCTCCTGAATGCTAGGATTTCAGGCATGCACCACCACCCCTGGTTCCAGGGTCACCTGGTGGACACTCACTTCTGGGGCTGAGACAGTGCACCCCGGATACCACACACACATGGGGATGGAACTCTGGTCCTTGTGCTTGTCAGGGAGGTGCTTATGCCTCTGAGCTAGCTCTCCTGCCCCTTCACATTTTTTTTCTAAAGAGGCCTTCTGAATTATTCAAATGGTGCCTTTATTATTATAGGATAACAATAGCACTAGAAGGGGAGTGAGAAAAGGCAAAGAATGCTACATTTTAATTGATTTATATTTAATTACTGTTTCTTCAAAGCTAGTGAAGCAATTTTTTTTTTTCTTTTTGGGGTACCTGGGATCAAACTAGGGACCTTGCACTTGCCAGGCAGACACGTGCGCTGCTGAACTACCTCCCTGGTAAGTGAAGCAATTTTTTAAAACAAAATCCTAATCTGAAAGAAAACTTTTTTAAACATTTTTTTGGTTTTTCGGACAAGGTCTCACTATGTAGTTCAGGCTGGCCTTGAACTCACTATAGAGCCCAGGCTAGCCTCAAACTCATGGCAACCCTCTTGCCTCAACCTTTCAAGTGCTGAGATTACAGGCATGCACCACCACACCTAGCAAAACAATTTTTTTTACATAAATTGTAAAAGCTCTCAAGTAACAAATTCAAATATAAGATGCAGAAATCAGTACATCCTATTTAGATATTTTAGTTAGTGTTAACTGTAAAACTTTGATTCTTCTAGGCTGAAAATAGAAGACTAAGTCTGGCAACAGAGAAAACACAAACATATTAGGAAGTTAATAATATAGGCTACCATTTATCAAGTCATTTACTGTGTTCTGAGAATAATGGTTATCTCTTTTTACACCTTCCATTATTTAATCTACTGTTCTTCTATGAGTAAGATATTTTTGCTTCCTGTTTTTGAGAAAAGAAAATGAAATTCAGTGTGATTAAATAACTTGCTAAAAGTCACATAATTTCTGGAAATGAAAATGAGTTCATTTTATTCTGAAGTCTCTATACATAGATAGATAGCTCATACTTAAACCAAAAGATAGATAGATAGATAGATAGATAGATAGATAATACTTAAACCAATATATACATATATGTATTGGTTTAAGTATGAACTATCTCCCAAAGACTCATTTACTGAGAGCTTGATGTGCAAAGGAAGGTGTGACTGCACCAGGAAGCTCTGACTTCGAGTATTTCATCCATCAATGAGGCCATCAGTTGAATGGGCCCCTCAGAGATGAGGCCTGCTAAGAAGTGGGTCCCTAGGGATCAGCCTGGAAGGGATTCCAGGTCTCCAGCAGTCCCTTCCTTTCTCTGGCTTTTCCACCCTCTCTGCTCCCTGGCTGCCAGGAGCTGAGTAGCAAACCTTCACCCCAGCCTCTGTTATGATGTATCTTCCTCACTAAGTTCCAGAAGAAAAGGAGCCAGCTGACCATGAAGTGAAACCTTGAGGTCAAATAAAAGTGCACCCTTGACTTCCGAACTCATTTTTTTCCTGAGGGGTGGTTGTGACTCAGGTTGTCCATTTAAGGCTCAAGCTTCACACAAGCTTCTAAAGTCTCTCTCCCATATACAGGCAAATCTCAGTGTCCTTAGATGCTGGCCCAGGATTTCTCAATCCCATACAGAAAAGGATGTGGTAATGTTCCTCTCAGAACTCCTTATGGGCTGAATCTGTATCTAAGACCATCTGAAAGACTTTGATCATATATTAGCAGTAAAATTCTGATCATAACCCAACTTGTTGCTGAGTCCAGTCAATTGTAACTCGAGGAGCTCCATTTGAAACATTTCCTCCTCTAAGTGATTTTTACAAGTATTTGGTTACAGAAACAAAAAGCTGTGTAACACACTGTTTGTGTTATCCACAAAGCATATTCAAAGGTCAAGGACCGGGGAGATAGCTCAGTAGAATAAATGCCAGAGTTTAATCCCCGGTACCGAAAAAAAAAGGTCAAGAACCATTATGGTTTTTCCTCTGCTAGTACAGAGATTCAACTAATGTGAATCCTAACTTGTGCCCGCTCTTCCTTGCCATAAAGATTTTATCGTTCCTAAACCACTTTTTAGGAATTAGGAATAATGAGAATCAAGAGCCAAAGGGAAAAATAGGTACATTTGTAAGCTCACGTAATAGCACTAAGCATTTTTAATTAGAATTACTTTTTAAGGGGTTTCAATTGTCAATTTATATTCATTAGGTAATTTTCCTCTCAGGTGGGAACAAAATCCCTTACTTGTTTGAGCCCTCTTTTCTAAAAGTCACCAGCTTATGTGACTGAGGTGGTAACCTTTTCGATAATTATGTATCTATGGAACCACTCTTAACAGTCTGCGTAACAGTTTGCCACTGTTCATTTGAAGTCATTTAAAACACTAGGCCATATTATCTTCAAATTTCTTGTTCAGGTTATCACACAATACAGCAATCATTGTTGAAGTCCTGCTACTTAATGAAATTTTGTATAGTTTCTAATCCTTTTTTTTTTTTTTACTACTTTGTATTTTTAAATAAATAAAATAAAACATGTCAACTTTTAAATTTAGATTTGTTTTTAAAAAAGAATGCACAAAATTGATAAAGGATCAAGAGATTACATAGTCCAACTCCATCACAGTATTTAATAAAGTCACAAACAAGACAAGAATCAATTGACCTTCTGGAATTTAATAGATCACACCATAGAAAATCTACCATCGCTCCCTCTTTGCAGTGAAAAGTCAAAGCTTGACTTTTTTTAACTCGTCATTGTATTTTTGAAAAAAAAAAAGCCAGAACCACTGAGTAACCAGTAAACTACACAGAACAAAAACTCCCAGTACATTCTGGAATGATATCTTGGCAATCTGGCTGGTGTCAGAATGACCAGCCCAAGGCAAGGGTTGGCCGGCTGTTCGCAGTTTTGCACTGGACTGGAATGAACAGACTTTGGGAATCCTCCAATAAGCGACGTTTCACGGTGAGGGCGTGGTTTCAAGGGGGCGGAGAATTGGGCTCCGGAAAATGGGAAGTGTGCGCTGATTGGCTGATCTTCTTGCCTCTAGGAATCAGCCTTCTTTGGACCGCAGAGGCCATCAGTCAAAAGAACTATACCAATCAGCAGCGAAAATGCCTATTCGCGGGAAAGCCCCGCCCCCGAATATACTGTATTTCTCCCGAGGTCAGGCGCAGCAACCCCTTCGCTTCAGTCCCAGCGAGAGGAGGGCGGTGTAGTCTCCGCGGCGCTGCGGAGACCTCCACCCCGGACAGTTCTCCCTCCCCGGGCCTCTCCCCTCCTGCCCCCGAGCGTCCTCGCCTCCTAGGCCTGTCGTTTCTGATATCGTGGGGCGAGGTGAGAGCAGGCCCGGGGAGGGTGGCCACGCCGAGGAGCCGCAGTCTCTGCCAAGGTAAGCTGGCACTGGGGGTCGCCCTGGTGCGGCTGGGACGCGGGGTTGGCACCGGGTCTACCCGCGCTCCTTTTCTGACGGTGTGGGCACAAGCCCGGGCTAGTCAGAGCCTGGGGGGCGGAGTTGATCGGACCTCCCGGAGGTGTCTTCTCTCTCCTAGCCGTCCCAGGAGCGAGACTTGGACCCCTTAAGTTAGTGATTCTTCGCCTCGCCAGCCCTGAGATCCCTGCCTTCCAGTCTTTAAACTGGTGCATAGGGACCTTCCGTGCGTGCGTGCAAGACTAGAGGTTTTGTGCGCACTTACAAGTGGGATTTTCAGTTTCAGCGTGCAGACCAGGTTAGCCCCCGCCCAGCGACGTGCGCCCATAGCACTCTTTAATTTTCCTTTTGGAGTACTGTGTGCTAAATACTGTTCTGGCCTCCAAGTGAATCATCCTGTGTAATCTTTCCAGCCACTCAGGAGACAGATACTGCATTGTTACCCTCACTTTACAGATGTAGAAATAAGCTCAGTATTCAGTGATTATTAAGCACCCACCTATGTGATAAACTCTATGTGATTTCCTTTAATCCACACAAGGCAACAATGAGCCCTTTTCCCACTTTATGGGTGAGGAATTAAGGAGCAGTTCTCTTTGTTAATATATGGCAATACAATACATACTACCACCTGATTTGTTTTCTTACCCTCTTTTACAGTGTCTGTTAGTGGTTATCAATTGACAATGAATAACTTGAACAAGTATTTCTTGAAGTTCTATAATTTTTTAAAAGGGACTCACAATTTAAGATGTGACCAGTTTGTACAAGGGTAAACAGTATGAGCACTTTACATTAAATTCATTCTCCCCAGTGAGGGGCAGGAGACATTTTCAAAAGCACTTCGTATTATAAAATGGAAAATGCGAAGGAGAGTGGGAAGGGTTACTCTTACACTCCTTTCTGGGATTTGTTCTATTTATAGATGATAGAAGTCCTGACAACAACTGACTCCCAGAAACTGCTGCACCAGCTGAATACCCTGTTGGAGCAGGAGGCGAGATGTCAGCCAAAGGTCTGCGGCTTGAGACTAATCGAATCTGCACACGATAATGGCCTCAGAATGACTGCAAGACTAAGGGACTTTGAAGTAAAGGATCTTCTTAGTCTTACTCAGTTCTTTGGCTTTGATACGGAGACATTTTCTCTAGCTGTGAATTTACTGGACAGATTCCTGTCTAAAATGAAGGTACATTTAAGTTATAGTACTGTATTTCTTAATTTTTATTTACTGTATTTTAGGATGGAATTGCTGGCTCTTGCCTGGTATTCATAAGCTTAACCTTTTGCATTTTCAGTAAGTAACCAAAACACTGATAATCCCTTCTACTGTAATATTGTTTCCTTATTGCAATTAAGAGCAATGCATCTTTTATTAATTATATTCTGAGGTGGAATGTAGTCTAATATCAGAGTTATTTGTAGGGTCTCACTATGCAGCTCAGGCTGGCCTTGAGCTAACTTTGTAGCCCAGGCTGGTCTAAACTAACAACAAGCCTCCTGCCTCAGCCTCCCAAGTGCTGGGATTACAGGTATGCACCCCCACACCCAGCTTGCAAAATCTTACACTAAGGAAATTGTTTCTAAAAACCTTTTCTTAGGCTGGGGATAGCTCAGAGAGACGTCTAAGTGCCTGCCTGGCAAGCACAAAGACCTAGGTTCAATCCCCAGTACCACGTGCTGCGCTGGCCCTGTGCTGCGCTGGCCCTGTGCTGCGCTGGCCACGGAAACAGCATGGTGGTGCATGCCTGTAATCCCAGTGCTGGGGCGGCCGACAGGAAGATACAAGTCTGAGCTGAGCAGCAAGACCCTGTAATTAATAAACAAATAAATGATTTTTTTTAATTTTAAGACCTTTCCTTGATAGCTTGTATGTTGTCTTCAGAGTTAAAGAAGTTTGTCAGAGGCAGAAGCTTGGATTGTAGTTCCGAGTTAGGATATTAATCACTATAAAGTTCCAGTTGTTTCCAGCCTCAGTGTATCTGCAGCAGAGGCCTCAGCTTTTCTATTGTTACTTTCCTAATCTGAAGAAACCAGGCATCTGTATAGCTCTTAAAGCTTTAGTGTTAAAAATACATCTGCCTTTTCTGTACACCCTGGAGCAATGCAAAATAATGAAATGTCACAATTAGAATAAAACTCAGACTTTAATCCGCAGTAGCAAACACAATTTATCAGATATAGAATGAACCCAGTATTTGTTAAATTGAATGGTTAAAAAATTAGTTCAACAGCTGCC